AAATCTAGCAAAGTGGATCAGGGAGAGTGACAGCAAGAAATGCATATTTTGCTAAGAGTTCGAGTTATATTAATTATAGCATTATTCTAATATTTTAAAAATGAAAAGAGAGAGGGGGAAGCAGAGATCAGTTAGTTCCTCTCCAACTTCCCTTGTGGAAAAAGAAAGGCACAATGGGGCAATTAAAACAGATTGCTGAAGCATGAGTTACAGGTTATTCAACCCTAATCTAACAACCACATGCAACAGGAAGCAATAAAATGGGCAGAATAAGCAAGCAGGAATCCCATAAAGTTCCTTTTGGATTACAGAATTATAGCAATATGATTCCACTTTGATTGCCATGGATTCCTGGGATGTGCAGTTTAGGGAGGAACATTTAGAATTCTCAGCCTGAGAGTTCTAGCACCTGAAAAAACTACAAACACCAGGATTCCACAAGACACATATGGAAATTAAAGAGGAATCATAATGCTGTAATTGTGTAGTGTGAAAGGGCCCAAAGGCAGAGGAATGTTTCAAGGTCTCAATTCATTTGCCTGACCATACTTAACTGATTGATAGAGCAACTTTGTTTTATTGCGATAATGTCATGGCAAGTCAGGTTGGAGGTAAAAAAATCCATGGAAAGAAACTACAGTTAGTACAAAATATGGCAGCCAGGCTTGTCTCAGGAACATCTAGGAGGGATCACATCACTCCAGTTTTGAGATCCCTCCACTGGCTGCCTATTAGCTTCCGGGCCCAGTACAAGGTGTTGGTTATCAACTTTAAAGCCCTAAATGGCTTGGGTCCAAGCTATCTCAAGGACTGCCTCCTCCCCTATAATCCTCCCGCACACTCCGGTCCTCTGGGAGGAATCTGCTACAGCCTCAAAAGTCAAGGCTTTCGGCTACATCTCAGAGGGCTTTTTCTGTTGTCGCCCCCAGACTATGGAACGACCTGCCGGACGAGATCCGTCAACTGACATCCTTGGACAGCTTTAAAAAAGCTATCAAGATGGATCTCTTCCAGCAGGCCTTTCCAGAATAGATTATCCGGCCTCGGGAACTCCACCTTGGGAATTCCCCCTCCTCAGGAGAGCCCCGTGATTGCCATGTATGTATGTGTTTTATTAGTACTTTAACTGTTGTTTTAATTTTGTAATTTGATTTAATAACTTTTTAAGGGGGGAGGGGAGTATACTGTTTTACTTTGTATGATGTTTTAATGTGTTGACCGCCCTGATTGGTTTACCAAAGGGCGGTATAAATGTTGTTGTTGTTGCTTATTATTATTATTATTATTATTATTATTATTATTATTATTATTATTATTATTATTATTATTATTATACACAAACTTGCAATGTGACAATACCACAAAATTATTGTCTTGGATTATGTCTAAAAGATGAATGAATAAGGGGTCAGAAGGTCTAAATGTTGGAAGGTTAGGTTGAGCAACACAGATAGCCTCTCAGAAATTATGGAATGTTTAACATTTAGAGAGGACTGTCTCTAAGAACTCCCCTGAAAGGCAGATTATGAAAACTGTATTGTCTTCATATTTGAAGAAAACAGGAGCTGGGGAAAATAGAGGTCAAAGTATCCAAGATTAAAAAGGTTGCTTGTGTGTCAGACCTTCTGTTCTGTACAGAAAATATATCTCAGAGAGAAATGGAAAAAGGCCAAGGAGCTGCAGATCAGACAGCTTCAGAGAAATGTGAAAAGATGCACATCAAAGGATACAGCATCCTGCACTCTCAGTAGGAGAATGAAGAGCAGACAATGATTCAGTGTTTATATTTGGCACACAGAGCACCCATCCAATACATATCAGTACAGCCTGATAGATTATGGACAGCACCTAAAGCGTGCGAGGGGAAGCTTTCACTACTGTGGTTTTCAAAGAAATATCTGTGTTAGTCTGTTGAATCATGAAAAGGGGAGAGGGGGAAAAAAGAAGAAATCCAGCATCACCACTGAGACTGATTTATATTTTAGCATAAATATTTGTGGATTTCAAACTAGTCTTAAGAGTATCATTTGTTCACTTCACAATCTATATGAAATATTAACAAAACCAGGAAGCTTCACAAGTTTTGTGAGGTGCTATTTAATATGTTGTTGATGGCGTTACTGTATGTGTTCAAGTCATTTCTGACTCATGGCGACCCTAAGGCAAACCTATCATGGGGTTTTCTGGGGCTAAGTGTGTGAGACTCCCCAAGATCACCCAGTGAGTTTCCATCACCAAGCAGGGATTTGAACCCTGGTCTCCAGAGTCCTAATCCAACACTGAAACTACTACACCATGCTGGCTCTCACTTAATGCATGAGTGCACTTAACTCATTGATCCCTTACTTAAAACCTGAAAGGCTGTAAACCTGCCACAGATGCATCACATAGTTCAGCTTCTATGTCTGACTCTTAAGCTTGTTCTGAACAATCAAAAAAATGTATGATGATAACATGGCAGCTGGAACATATTATTTCAGATTGTATATGGAGGGACTGGCTGATTGAATGCTTACTATGCTCAATTAGACATAGGGAAAAATAAACATTAAAAGGTTTCTAACCTTGATCATTTACTTAACATGATGCTAGATGCTTAGTTATGTGTACACATGCTATATTAGGGTATTTTTAGGAAGACTTACAAAACTGCCTTATGCTAAGTTGATCATCTAGCCCAGTATTAACAATGTAGACTGACAGCAGCTCTTCAGAGTTTCAGCAGGACCCTTTCCTGGCTCTATGTGGTGAATCTCTTAAATTCCTTTTGTGGTCTTCCACTGAAGTACTAATCATGTTCAACCTGCTTAGCTATCCAAATCATACACAATTAAGTACATTCAGGATAGTGTGGTGGCTAAACACTATAGACCAGTTGCACAACTACAAGAAGTTTATTTGGCCTCCATTCCAAGGTTCTGTGAAGGGGAAACTTCATTGACATTCCCTTTTTGCATGATGTCCCAGGAGTGAGATTGCTTATTGCACTTTTCTTACACAGCCTGTAATTGAAAGTGGCATCTCCTAATCTAGTAATGATGTTAGCATCAAAACAGTAATGCTGTGCTCAGCCACTGAAAAAACAGAAAAGACAGTTGCCAATGTTCTGTCCTATTCTTCCAGCATTCTGTCACACCTGAATGACTAAGAAACAGAAAATGAAGGCCTAGCAGAGAAGACAGAGGCAAGCTTTACAAATCCAGGAATTACTCATTTTTCTTCCTTAATGGAAAAAAACAACTCCAGAATGACTGACTTATCCCCCCCCCCAGCCAATTTAAGAACGTAGGGCAACTTCTTCCCCCAGTTACTGTATTAGTTTTGTGTCAAAGGGTACAAAACAGGCTTTTGGAGCAAAATATGAGGGTGGAGAAGAAGGCCAAACACATCAAGGTGGCCCCTAAAAATTCACTTGTCCCTCATATAAACTATATGAGGGACAAGTGAAAGATGACTGGATGATTTTTTAAAAAAAACTAATTACCATTCTGTTTGTTTTGAAAAGCTAGAGTGGGGATATTCTAAGAATGGCATGAAGGTTACCTCCATGGGTGCTTCATATTCCTCCCTCTCAGATTTGCTCCATACATGTGGTATGAACCAAATCTGAGAGGGAGGAGTGGAAAGTACCCATGGAGGTGACCTTCCTGACATTCTTAGAGTATCCTCATTCTGGCATTTTTTTTAAAAAAGAAAGAAATCCTATTAGTTATTATTATTACAGAATTACAAGTAGTGCAATTTGCTAGAGACCAATCACAGACTCTATGGACTTGGACAACTATCACCCAGACTCTTAACTTCCTTTCTTTTTTTTTCTTTTTTTTTGAAAGGATAGTGACCTGTTGACTCCAGGTAGCTTAAGAAGAAAGTGATTATCTGGATCAGCTCTCAACTAAATGCCAACCTGGTATTCAGGAGACAAGCACCCTTGATCACTCTGGTGGATGATTTATGTTGAGGACTGAATGCAATCCTGTTTGTTCTATTGAACCTCTCCATAGCTTTCAATGCCATTGATGACAGTATCCTCATCTGTCACCTTCCAAGGTCAGGATTAAGAAGCTGAATATTACAGTGGTGTTGAATCTTCCTAGCAGTCCAATCCCAGAAAGTAGGACTGTTGGGGTTATGCTTCACTCCATGGACTTCGGCCTCTGGTGTACCTTATGCTCTTTAAAAGCTACATAAAGATTCTGGGGAAAATCATCCAGAACTCTAGGCTGTCATCAGCACACAGATATCAGGCAACTGTGCTGTTATCATCTATGGATATCAAAAAGGCATAAATAATTTGATCAGATGGTAGTACTAGGATGGGTGAGGATAAATAAGCTGAAATACAGTCCAAATACATCAGGATACATGTTCTATGAACTAAGAAGTTGGTTGATCTCTATTAAAATTCTAAGGAATTCAGGATCAGGTTGACTAAAAAGCCAAGAGATCCTACCTGTCTTTTAGGCTCAGCTTTGGAGATCCAGACCCTGTGCCAGCAAGCAAGATAAATTAGGTTCGAGACAACAAAGGCAGGGTCTTTTTAGAGCTAGCCCCATGGTTATGAAACTACTTTTAACAGAAATATGTCTGTCTTCATACAGTAAAAGCTTTCAAATAGGCCTTCTTTCTTTAATTCAAATGATTCTGAGCTGTTTATATCACTTGAATCCCAAGTTCTCATTAACATGTCTGAAGAGAAAGTGATGTCTCATAATAATGTAGGGCAACGCATTTGATTTATCTTTCCTTTATGTATGTCACTTCTCAGAGGAAGGCAAAGACAAACCACCACTGAGAATCTCTTGGCTAAGAAAACCCTACAAAATTCATGGGTTACTGTACATTGACAGGAGACTTGAAAGCACTTATGCACACAGATACCACTTCACACTGGTCCAAAAATGCAGTCTATTAAACAAATAATGTATTAAATAATGTAGTCAAAAACTAAACAAATATTGTAAAAGTATCTGTGTGCTCATTTATTAAAATATGACTAATCCAGTGTGGTGTAGTGGTTTGGGCACTGGACTATGACTCTGGAGATCAGGATTCGATTCCCCCACTCAAGCATAAGGACCCACACTACAACAACCCACCTCATCTCAATAGATATAATCCAATGGCTTCCAGTGAAGATTATAAACTGTATGAGTCATTCAATATAAAGGACACCAAGCAATTAATCTGCAAACCTTTTCATAAAATCAGAACCATAAATAAAAAGCAAGCTATGATCAATAAGCCCCCAAAACTCAAATAAATACTTGTATCTTAACCTAGTGCTGAAATGAGGGCAATGTTGACACCAACTGGGCCTCTACAATGAGGGCATTCTATAACAAGGAGCACAACAATTAAAAAGGCTTGTATTTGCTTTTAAAACACAGTTACAAACAAAGGAAAGCCTCTGGGACAGGCCTTAATGACCACACAGGTGAATTCAAGGGGGCAGCCCACCTCAAATATCCAAGTTCCAAACTGTTTAGGGACACTGTTTCATTGGGCGTTTTCACACGGGGCTTTAGGCAGATGCAATCCTACCTCCGTCCAGCCCCAGTCCGGATCCTTTGCAAAGTTTTTCACACGACTTCGCAGCAATCCCCGCCCCATCCAGTGCCATCCCAGGCGCTAGCCAGCGTCAGTCTGGGGCCTTGCTCTGTGTGTTCACACGACGTCGCAGCAAGCCCCGCCCCCGCCCCATCCAGCGCCATCCCCGGCGCTGGGCGGCATCAGCCCCGGTCTTTGTAATTCCTTTTTTTAAAAGGAATTAAGTTGCTGCTGCCAGAAGCAATCAAGAGGCATTCCGGAATGCTGCTGCTTTCACAGGTCTGAAGCTGCAGGATCCATTCTGGAATGGCTCTTGATTGCTTCCAGGCGGCTTTGGACGTTCAAGTGTGAAAACGTCCATTATATTGTCTCTTTATACTGAAAGGTGCAAAATTAATAAGTATGTAAAGAGGTGTGGTGGGGTTGACAGCAACAGATTCAGCATGCTGCCAGGCTGATGGCTATAAACTATAATCCCACCTCCATGATCCCTGCCTGACAAAAGCTTTACTCAGCTAGGAGAGATCTCTTGTCATAGTACAAAGCATTTTTTTCCAGCCATGGAAGCTGCCAGTTTTCTCCTACTTGGATTTTAATCCTAGAAAGAGAAGATTTCTGCCATTTGTAAAGCTCGCCTCTCTTTGATGAGAGCTTTTATAAACTAGTAAAGATCATAACCAAGCCTGGCTCAGGAAACTTAGCTAATGACGCAGAGAGAATGATTCTTAGCAAAGATGAGCAGGCCTCTAGGAGGTGATCTATAAATCTCCTGTGGGAGTGAAGGGGAACAAATGGGGGGGGGGGTAGAAATTTTAGTGAGCCCCTTCCACTCTTCTGCCATAGCTTCTGGAAGTCAGCGTCCAAGCATGGTTATACAGTCAGTTCTTGATATCTGCAGATTCTTTATCCATGGACTCAACTATCCTTAGTTTGAAAGTATTAAAAACATATATAAATTCCAAAAAGCAAATCTTGATTTTGTCACTTTATATAAGGAGCATCATTTCTACACCATTGTATTTAATGGGACTTGAGCATTCACTGACTTTGATATCCACAGAGGTTCTGGAACCAAATCCTACCAGATACCAAGAGCCCACTATATATTCATCACTCACACCCTAAGGATAAAATCCTAGATCCTATGTTTCTCTTCCAAGCCCTAAAAAAACTGGCATACACTCAGCAATCGGACAGGAATGCTTCCCCTCTAGTGGGGGAAAATACCCCCACATCCATTTACAATGAGATTTTCATGCATGCGTGTCAAGCTTCCAGAAACAAAGCAAAGTAAAACAAAAAACAAACAAAAACAGAGCAGTTTTGGCCTAAATACCCCCAAGGCACCAGATCCCATATGATCTTAGAAACTAAGCTGGATCAGATCTGGTCAGTACCTGGATGCGAGACCATTAACTAACACCAAGTTCTGTAGACTATATTTCCAAAAAGGAATGAGGAAAACCACCTCTTAAGTATTCCTTGCCTAAGACAATGCTATGAACTTCATGGGATCACCATAGGTTGACAAGTGACTTGAATATATTCATACATATGCATGTGATACTCCCCATCCCATGCCATTCTGGAGGGCTCCTCAGAATCCAAAAAATAAAGTTCCTATCTGATCTTGGAAGCTAAGCAGAATCAACCCTGGTCACCTGGGTGGGAGACCACAAGGTGATGTAGGCTATATTTCAGAGGAAGGAACTGGCAAGACTACATCTAGGTATTCCTAGTCTAAGAAAACCATATAAAATTAATGGGGTCATCATAAATCAACAGCAACTTGAAGGCACATACACACAGAGACAATAGCTAAGAGAAGGGAAGAGAAGCTTCTCTTCCTAAAAAGCAATTGGACTCAATTAAATGCCTCATTTAAGAGTTGACTGACAGCTAAGGCACAAGTGTCACCGAATACATGCCTAATATCTGTATATTACAGGCATATCTCATAAATACACTAGTATATCATTTAAAGGTTGCTTTGGTGAAAATGCCTCTTTTATGTTCTATTTTTTGTGTGCAAATTGAGGAACATTCAGTTATAATGCTGTATTCTTGGTGGGAGGTAGTCAGCTACATGGTGAGTGATCTTTATTAAAATTATTTATAGGATGCCTTTCATCATAACAAGATGCTGCAGTTTACAAGACAAAATAAATCCAAGAGCAACAATAGCAAGCCATACCAACAAGTTAGCCAAAGTTCCTTAAGTAAACCCAGTGCTAGCAATAAGTAATCAGGAATTCCAACACAAACAGGGACATTTTCACTAACTGGCAGAATACCTCGGAATAGGACATTATGGGCACCAGCCTGGCAAAAGGCCCTCCTTCAAACTGTGTATCTTAAGTCATGACATCTTCACATGATGCCAACTAGAAAGAATTCTGCAGATGATCTCAATAAATTATCTGTCTATACAGGAGATGTTCTGTCAGATCATTTAGCCTCAATCTGTTCAAGGCCCTATAAACTAACAGAAAACACTTAAGATCACATTTGTCGTAAACAAATGGCTGATGCCATTTCTTCAAGAGTGGTATACTATATGTATGCAAATGCTCGTAAGTTCCACTGGGCATTCCATAGTTGCTATTTTACACTGGGTGAAGCTTCCAAATAAATCATAACAACAGCACTACACAGAATACAGGAATACCTCAGTTAACAAAGCCTCTTGACAAAGAAGTTACCTTATAAAAAGTCTTTTTATACCTGCCCAGCCTCCCTTTCCTCCATGTCCTCTATGCAGCTGGTCATTTTTAGCTGGACATTTTAAATCCTTCTCGCATATCCCCCAACCCCCCAAAGTCTTGCCATTCAACAAGAGAACAATACACAGATTAACATGCAAATTACATCCTCTCAATCAAGGGTCACACAGTATATATACCCGACACACCTCCATGCCACCATTCTCTGAAGATGCCAGCCACAGATGCAGGCAAAACGTCAGGAATAAATTCTTCTAGAACATGGCTTCACAGCATGAAAAGCCCACAAAAACTTATTTTTAGTACCATTGGCACTGGGAGGATGGGGAAGGAGGGCTGTCAATCTGCAGTAACCTGTCTGTAAGTAAACAGTGTAATAAAGCTTGAGGTGAGAAAGAATTAGATTCTACTGTAGTTGATCCTACTATAGCTGTGAATGCCTTCCTGCAACAAAAAGGGTACAGCTGCCCCCAAAATCCCATACTGAGCATGCATGAACAATAAAGAGAGAGAATATCATCAGAGAGAGAAAAGGGATAAGATTGAATCAACAGCTCCCCTCAACCTGTTAATGAAACAAAGATCTGTAATTCTCACCACCAAAATGAAAATCATAAGCAAAGTGGAAGCTGGTGAAACTAAAAATAGTCACTGGATACATTGTGGGAAAAGCTTTCAAGCGGTCTCTAATAGGTTTAGGATGTTTTTGTTTCCTTCTACAAGCCTTACCTGACCTGGTTGTTTCATTTCACATCTACATATTATTAGTTTGGGACATGAAATTTTCTGTTCAACAAATGATGTCCAAGAACCTAAGCACTCTGTTAACTGTGGTATACCTTAATTTTATGATAACCCCATCTAGAGTTTGCTAATGCATGTGTCATTGTGGCCAAGCAATAGCCACCTAGTAATAGACAGTTGGTATACCAACCAAACCTGATAGAAAATGTTCCTGGCCACCTAAGCATCCAGTGGCAAAGATGATCAAGGAGCTTTGTCAAAGCCAAAATGGGACAAACAAGAGGCAGAAAAAAACATCCCAGCATCTAATGCTAAGTAAAGCCACTAGCCCATCTGTCCAACTCAGCCTGGTTTAGGGGTTCCAAGACATCATCAGACACCCCCAAACCTTCTAAGGAAGCAAGGGGGCAGACCAAAATCCTCTGTTCCAAGCCAGAAGCAATGACCCAGGAAAAGATACTAGAATCAGTACAAAGGCTACTGAAAATCCTTTACACAGATGTTTGTAAGGACAAAGAGTTATAAGAGAAGGGGGATAATGGAAATAAAATACAGACTAGAATGGCATTTGGGGAAGTTACAAAAGAGGAAAAAATGATAAAGCTTAGTTTATTCAAGTCTATACCTACTGAAGTATGGGCCTCACTGGAACAGGATACTAACACTAACAGAGTGGAATAACAGCATTATAATTATGTAATGTGAATGAGCTCCCGGTCCACCTGAATTTAAAAATAAGAATCAGGGAGACAACAGAGGGTTTTGTACTTAATGAATGTGATAACCAAGGAAAAGAAATAAGTATGCTCCCCATCTCCTGGTTTGGGAGGTGGAATGTGTTTTTCACTTTCCTCTTAGGGCTTGAAATCATGCTTGCAATTCCAAGAAGAAATGTAAAAATAAATAAATAAATAAATACTGGCTTTCGGTCTTTAAATTAGGACATTATAGGAGTTGTGTCATTTGTCCAACCTAAAATGGCCCTGAAAGCAGCTGTTTTCACCACTAAAAGCTTCCACTGTCTCATTAATTTTTTATTGATCACTTTTGCATT